TGTGATGTCACATGGTATGGAATACCCCTTTGGCCACTTTGGGTCAGCTGCCCTGGCTGTGTCCTGTGCCAACTTCTTGTGCCCCTCCAGCCTTCTTGCTGGCTGGGCGTAAGAGGCTGAAAAATCCTTGACTTTAGACTAAACGTTACTTAGCAACAACTGAAAACATCAGTGTGTTATCAACATTCTTCTCATACTGAACTCAAAATATAGCACTGTACCAGCTATATTTTAGGAAGACAATTAACTATCCCAACTGAAACCAGGACATGAGCCCATGTGGCATAATCTGTCTCCTGCAATGGGAAGAGTAAGCAACAGGTAGTCATATTCTTTCTAATGCCAGCAGAAAACAGCCTGTATCCCAGGTAAATTTTTCACAAGTAAAAAGTGAGTTGCTTAGGTGTGCAAATTGGACTGACAGTTCTGGCCCTAGTAATCATTTGAGTGATGTGTTTGTTATTTTTCTAGCCATTCAGGGAGCAAGCATTATTATCAGAGAAATTCTGGAGTATCTTACTGTTTTATTCTCTTAATTCAGTGTTAGTCTTCTACTACATCTTCAGTTCATGTACATTTTCTTCCTTTTCATCATCTTTTTCTTCCTTTCCTGTATCTCTTACTATCACTGTCTTTTTCCTCCAGCTCACCTCAGTTCACTCCGTTCTTTCTACTCTCATACCAGATCAGTTTTCTCACTAGCATACACTAACCCTACTATGTTGGTATGTGCTGCATATATATGATCGTAGCATAATATATGGAAATATGTGAAGCAATATGGTATGATAGAGAAACTGTGTAGAACCATACATTTATTTTTGTTGCATGTCTGTTTATTATAATACTGTGAGGTCTCAAGTAGAAAACTACTTTAACCCAGACATGTTGAACTCACCTAGTTGTCCTTCTTCTAGCTCTGCCATTATTCAGTTTTTATTGACCCAGACAGACTGAAAAGTGCCTAGATCTGAAGGAAACATCCTTAAATATTTTAACCAGCAGTCTGGCTGACATAGTGCAGCAAGTGCATAACCCCAATTAATGAAATCACACAAAAGCAGACTTTCCCAAGCAGGGTTAGGCTTTAAGTATAACAGTTTTATGCCTTCTGTCTCTGTTCATTCTACCTTGCCATGATCTTTTTCAGATGATCACCACATGCACTCTAATTAGAAAAGTCTTCTGAGTAGATGAAGAGAATTGTTCTATCTCCATTTTCCAGGAAAAATCCTATGTCAGGGTCCCTCTTAAATAATGGAGGCTTGAAAAACCGAGAGGAAGATGATCAAGATAGTTGTATCAGTTTGACTCAATCAATTTAATTTGATCAGTGCAGGTACTTTTTGTGGGCTCTTTCCTAAGTCAGAAACAGCTGAAGCTGATTCAGTCTATTATCTGTTGTTAATTCAATTTCAGATTGTCAGTCTACGTAGGTAGCTACTTTAGCTAAATCAGTGTAACCAAGTCAGAGTCAAGTAAGTGGGTAGGCCCAAATCTTGGCTAGCTGTCCTCTTCCATAGAGCGTGAGGGTCATTGCTGAGATTCTGAAGGTGAAAAAATGAGCATCTGTCATGAAGAATTCATCCTTTCCCATTCAGGCCATGATCAAACTGGAAAGAGTGCCAGCAAAAATAATAATGGATTGGAACAATTGTGCAAAGGCAGCTTTTCTCAGTCATTGCCTTTGGGAACAGTTTGCTGCCTAAAGGGAAGTTTTCTATTTTTTGCAGGAGCAATGCTGTGTTTGGTACTTTTTATAAGACTTCAAATGTTATAGTTAGAGGAGATGGGTTTGGGCCACTGATTCAGGAGCTGGAAATCTTCCTGACTTACTCAATGTCTACTGTGGAATGTCTAATGTTATCATGAAATATTTCATAATGGTGAAGTATCTTTGGGAATATTGTGTGGATAAAATGACTTATGGGTACTTATGTTTCATTGACTGGAAATGTTCTGAGTGATATTACAGGACACTGCAGGAATAACACCTGTAACTGGAAGGGACCTTGTGGAAAATTCCCGTGACTGCTAACCTTAATGAAGCTTTGTAAGCAACAGTGAGAAATAAAACAGCAAAATAATAATAGTTTTAAAAACCCAACAAACGACTAAGAAAGATATAGCTCTAGAAGATTTTCTTATGTGATACATAACCACATTTCTCAAACTTGCATGTGATAATTATCTTTGAACACTAAAAGCCTTATTTTCATGCTGCCCTCTATTTGCACGTTAACTTAAAAAAGGGTATTTGCCCCCACAGTTTTAAAATAAAGCCTACAAAGCAGAGGAAAGAGATGCTTATGAAATCAATAGGAAATTTTATCTGGTAAGAAAAACAAGAGCATGGTACAGTAATATGCTTCTTTTTTCTTCCAGCAAGAAGTGTTTACAGAGGGCTACAGCACCCCAAGCTTTCTACTCACTGACTCACAGAAGTGCTAGTCTGTACAAGCCTTGCTGGTTGCAAATTTTCAAATACTGTTTCAGTGAAAATCAGGTAAAAGGGAGTTAAATAAATTGCCAGTTCCTGAAGCATTAATTAATAAAAGACTGGAAGAACTCCAAACACTTTTTAGTGATGAGACCTTGTCTTCTTCACTAAGAGGAAGTTGTGAAGGCAGTACTTGCATAGTTGTGCATATATGGATTTATCTTACCTCAAGGCGACTATGGCTGTGTGTCTTGGTTTCAGCTGGGATAGAGTTAACTGTCTTCCTAGTAGCTGGTACAGTGCTGTGTTTTGAGTTCAGTATGTGAAGAATGTTGATAACACTGATGTTTTCAGTTGTTGCTCAGTAGTGTTTAGACTATAGTCAAGGATTTTTCAGCTTCTCATGCCCAGCCAGGGCACCTGACCCAGACTGGCCAACAGTGTATTCCATACCATGGGACATCCCATCTAGTTTAGAACTGGGAAGTGGGGGGCAGGGATTCGCCGCTCGGGGCCTGGCTGGGTGTCGGTCGGCGGGTGGTGAGCAATTGCCCTGCGCATCATTTGTACATTTCAATCCTTTTATTACTACTGTTGTCATTTTATTAGTGTTATCATTATCATTATTAGTTTCTCCTTTTCTGTTCTATTAAATCGTTCTTATCTCAACCCAGGAGTTTTACTTCTTTTCCTGATTTTCTCCCCCATCCCACTGGATGGGGGGGAGTGAGTGAGCGGCTGCGTGGTGCTTAGTTGCTGGCTGGGGGTAAACCACGACACTGTGTCTACATTAGTGAGTAGCACGGCATAATAGAAATTGATTTGTAGAACCAGACAGTGTTGAAGACCCAGTGCTTTTTTAAGGTGGTCAGTTTGGACTGGACTCTAGTCAGGTCTGATGGACTGACTGCCCTTTAGCAGCTGAAGCACCCAAGATGAGTTTAACAAGCACATCTTCCAATTTTGTTTTGTCCAAAAGAAATCCAGTCCACGTGCTCTCAGGCTGTTCTGTGACACGAACCCAAGTGCTCAACATGGGAGCTATTGGGAGACTGTCAGAAAAGTGCCTTCCTGATTTTAACACAAATGCTAATGTAGGCACCCTCCCTCAATTGCCAGCTACACTGAGGTAAAATCATAATGCAAGATTGATACTTTCATTTTCTTACAAGGCACGTTCATTGAGGTCATCACAGGAAAATTGGGTGTAATTGCTATTTGTGATTTAATGTCAAAGGCTTCACTGTCATCTATTTTCCCATCTTTCAGCCCAGATGAAATATTCTTTAAAGATGTATTAAAGACTTTCTACTTTGTACTTTTGTATCTTCTTATTTTATTCCACTTTGTAAAGCCTAACTTAGTCCACTTGTAATTTCATGAGGCTTTCAGTGGTTTAGATCAGGCTCATAGGTTCTACGCCATACAACAAAAGCATTTTCAGAACTCTTCGGAGTAATTTTCTCTTTTGTATCCTCTTTTATATTTCTTATTTGACTTTCAGAGATTGTTACATGCATGAAAGCATCTGCTGGCATTGTTCCCGACTATGATGACAAGTTGGGTCGTTATCAAGGGTTCTTGGAAGTCAGGGAAGATATTGGAGCTATTTATGAAAAACTGCATACTCATTTCCAACTACGCTGATGAGAGTACCAGAAGAAAGTGGTTAAGTTCCACAATTTGTTGACTGAAGCTGAAGGAGCAGCTTTTAGCTGTGGAGGTATTTTCAGTTTCATGTGTGCCTGTAAATCAAGTGGAAAACTTGTCCTTTAATAGATTCTGTGCAAGAAATCTTTTATGAACACTGATAACTAGTATGAACACTTGTGGCTGCCCTGGTGCTACAGCAGTGGTACCTCTTGATGGAGGCATAAATACCATCTTCCAGGACAATATTTAGTTATATATAGCACAGTAGTATTGCATAAAGTGCTGACAGTTGTTGCAGGAACAGGGAGGTCATCTACATGAAGGACTGATCTAAAAAGAAAAATTTCTAAAACTCGTGGCTAGTTTAAAAGCAGTTCAGTTAACCTGTTTTTGAAAATAGCCAGCGCTGGAGCCACAGTTGCTGAAAATGTTATACTGTAGGTCTGCCACTGACTGTCATTACAAGAGGTGTAGCCATCACACCAGTAATGCTATCTCTTTTTAGCCTACGTAGAGGCAAAGCATAAGTGTGTTGTGGATTCAGTACCACATAAACAGGAATAGCAAAGTTCAAGTAAAATAGATCTTTAAAAAATGCAACTGATAGTAGTAGAAGAGTTTTGTTGAAAGTTTTTGGTTTTCTTCAAAGATTTACCAAGATTGGAGCCAAAAGACTTTGGACAAACTGATGCACAAGGCTAAGAACAGAGAGCAGTGGGTATAGCACCACATGGGGCTGGCTTTTCAAGGGGCTTTTTTGGGGAGGGTGGATCCTGGGATCAGGGAAGTCTCTTTCCAGGTGGCTGGAGAATTGGATGGAAATCAGGGACATGGGTGATGAAAGGAGGACTGAGGAGGGAGAGAAGCCTTTTGTACATGTGTTGTTCTTTTCATAGGGAGGAAAAAAAGAGGATACTGAAGAATAAGATACCCAAGGAGAAAAACTAAAGTACAGGAATGGACATGCTTTAGAGCAGAACAGAAAGGAGGAAGCTTGGCAAGAGGATATGAAAGAGAACAGGACTGCTGAAAGGGCATCCACGTGGAAAACAGTCACCCAACATAAGAGGTATGTTGCAGTTCATGTATGAGTAAATACAGACATTACAAATTGGAACCAATTGGTGCCATAGTGAGTATAGCTCTTCATTTGTGGAAATGCTGGCCTAGAATATCTTTACTAGACTTCTCTGTTGGCTTTATCTTCAACTGCTAAGAAATTTGTGTCACACCAGCTATACCTTAAGCAAGAGATCTGATTTAAAACCCAAAATGGCCATAATGGAGGGAGGAGTGGGTGTATGTGTGTGGTTCCTTAACTGTGTGTAGTTGACTGTGTCCCATGATTGTGTCTTGTGGTTTTTATTACAGAGATCTAAAGCATGATCCAGTAGATAAGACAGATCAAGAAGAGCTTAAGGCTTTTCAGGGTGGCTGTAACTGTTTTTTAAAGGTGGCCACTTACTGCGTAGAAACCTTCAGAGCTTCTGCTCCATGGGCAGGGGGAGAATGTTAATACCCAGGACTATTAACTTGAGTTTCAGATTTAGTGTCAGTTTTGCCTCAGTTAGTGTCTTTAAACTTTGGCCATTCGGTGGTGTTCATTGGTCATCTGCTGTGGATGTGCTGGCTAGCCAGTGCACCAAGGCTGCATTAGAGAAGCAAACTTTTTTTTCAGTTCATTGCAGTTCCTCCTTTCCTGAGGACGGGTGTGTGGGGCCACCTGATAAGAAGCACACTAAAAGCTGCTAGTGTTATGCAGATGGTGTTCAAAACTTTTTGTACTTTCACCATTGGTATTAGAAGCCAGCTGGGTCAAGTGGCACAGACCAGACTGCTCTTGTTTCCTGAAGGCGTTTTCATTTGTAGGAATCAGTAGTGCAACTTTACACTCATTAATTCAAGCAATGAAAACTTGACTGGTTTTGTAGCTACTTACGTTAACAAAGTATTCCAGTTATTTCCTTCGCGGGAGTGAAAGGGACTTTGAGGGTGACAAAAGCTTATTAGGTCACCCCAGGAACACATTTCTGCAATTGGTTGGCAGTTCTTGAAAATCTGAGTCATGCCCTTTCCCGATTCAAAGTTTCACTGGTGAGCTCACTCTTGCTACTTGTCACCTTCCCATCCCAACATGTACCCATGCCTGTTTGCACACCACAAAATGTTTCTCATGTTATCACAAGTAACCTATCCCTGCAACTGTTACAGAACTATAAACAGTCGAGGTCTATTTTTGAACAAAACTCTTAACTAAATACTGAGCTTGCCTGCCTTGGTTTTTGGGGGTTTTGTTGTTTGTTTTTTAGTGATTACATTCATATGAGCCAACTAAAATGAATTTTAAACCAAGATGCTGCAAATCCACCTGTAATTTTGTAGGAAAACTTACAGCAGTAATTACAAATGAGCAAATTTACAATATCAAGATTTGTGTGTAGGCAACTGAAGAATAGGACAAACAGATAAACTTATCAAACATATTTCATTAGTCTACAAATGTGCTATTATTTCTAATAATTAGGTTTGGGTCTTTTGCTTTTTACAAAAGAAATTATTGGCAGATTTGATACTGACAATTGACCATATTGTGTTCAGAGATAAAACATGTAGCAAGATAAACCATTAGACACAACTGAGCCTCTAGGCATATAAACAAACAGCAGAAAATTTGTATTGTAAGTATGAATAAGTTTTGTTGGGTTTTTTTGTTGTTTTGTTGTTGTTGTTGTTTTGGGTTTTTTTAACACTGGTATATCATGGACCCTTTTTTTCCCCGTAGCTGATAAAGCGTACCCATCAGCCCAAGTATTAGTAAATGTGAGTCTGACCATCCTGCGCAGGTGAAAGCTGCAAAGAGCCTGTACCAATTTTGCCAAAAAAAAGTAGCTTCTTTAGCTGAAAGTAAGAACTAATAACAATCAGAATTTCTTTTTCCCCCCTAGTTGATAAAGCAAGGTCCATGGTCTCGATACCAATAATTGATTATTTCTCTTTTTACATTGGCAATTGCATTTTCTGTTCCTTTTCAGCAGGCTTAACTATCAAATACACTAATCAAATGAATGCTTACTTACTCCAAAGTGGAGCATCTTTCATCATTAATTTTTTTGCTTTGATGAAAAAAAAGTTATTTAAAGTTCATAGTATAGAACTTAAACACATGCGTGGGAGTAGAATTGTTTTAGACCACAGACAAACATCAGGATGGTCAGATCTGCATTCTGGCTGTTTGCCCAATATTTAAATCAGCTTGGCTGTCTCTTTATTGCCTCTGAGGACTGTGGATACACTTCATCTTAAAGATGCTGGTAGATAAAATAATCTGATTCAGGCTCTCTCTTGAATTCCAGTTCATGGTATTTGAGTTTCAGAAATTATTTCCTAGTCAAAGGTATGTTTGTTTTTTATTCCTGTTGTTTAGGAAAAACTGGTTTTGCTCAGTTTAATCAACTCAACAGCCAAACATGGCATCTTCAACATGTTCAGTAAAACTGATCCCTAAAAAAGTGCTAAAGTAGTAAGGCGTAACAGTGGTCATACTATATATACTTTAGCAAATCTCCACATATAATTTATTGCTGTAGTTTTAATATCAGTTTTTCCTTTATATCTCTTATATTCTCATGGAAAAGGTTAGAACCATTTTTGGAATTGCATATTTTTTAATCTGTCAGAGGCTTTTCCTCTTCAAACTAGCTACTGTAATATCTGCAGACAATTATTAATTACCTCTTGTTCAGACCTGTATTTGCCCGTCTGTCTTTCCAAAGACACAATTCTGACACTTCCCAAACCAGAGGCAGGAAGAGGGAACAGTAAATTCACATTGCAGATGACTTCGAAAATCAGCAATTCTGTCTTCATTCCAAACTGCAATGAAAGATATTTGCTAAGCTCTCCATAGAACAGCAATCTGAAAAATGTTGGCTTGCTAATTTCAACAAATTAGGACTGAGGAAGATTAAGACAGTGCAGGCTTCCAATTTCAAAAGCCCCTGGGTTTGCCATAGGGCTTGTTTGTTCCCTTCCAGCTCACATAGTGGGAGAGGGAGGGGAGCATCTGTGATTCTCTAATTTCTAGACTATTGGGGCAAAGAATCTGAAAATCCTGGACACTCCTTCCTGAGAGGGCTGCCAGGATCTGTAGGGCTCCTGATATTCCTGACTTTTAAAAAAAGAAAAAATAATAATAAAAAAAATCTGCTTAGTAAGCTATCTGCGGGCCAAGACACCAGAAGCATTCCCCAGTCTGTCTGCGGGACTTCTGAGGAGCTCAATAAGTAAACCAGCAAGAGTTCCAGCAGGATCCCAAGGGAAGAGTGCCTTTTGTCTTTGATTTACAATATAGTCCTTAAAAGTTCTCTAACGTAACTGTAGATGAGGAAAAGCAAGCAGTCTGCATACCAATGGCTGAACGTCCCAGGGAATGTCATCAGTAGTGACCGGCTGCAGAGTCAGATGCCGCTAATAGAAGTCTTCTCACAGAATTTCTGCCTCTTGGTGTCCCACAGTAACATCAGATCTGCACTGGCTTAAAACAAACCTGATCCCCTTCCTCAGTTCTATGGCTACAGCTTGCCCTGATCTTCTTACTCCTAAACTCTGAAATGCTTTCAGAGTCAGCTGGCAGTTGTCCACAGGACCCATAGATCCCAGCAATCGAAGACAGATCTGGACCATCATGTGTCTGAACTGAACTGCAGTGTTGGCTCAAACTCTTTTTTCAGACATTTTGGACATAGGTAGAAGTTATTGTCAAAAAACAGGTAATATTTGTTGAGAAAATTAACTAAACCTGTGCAATGTCAAAAAAACCCTTTTCAATAGTTTTTTTTCTTTATTTTTAAGTCACTCTTTTTCTTTCCTTCCATGTGTGAAAGACCTGAAAAATCAAGATATATGTCATCATTTATGTGGCAGCGGTCTGGTGTCTTGGTTCAAGACACAACTGGGCATGTGTCTTAAAAAGGGGAAACAAATCACCTTTTTTGTGCTTAGAAAGCAGTTTCCACTCGGAGAGTGGCACATTACAGCATTCAGTTGCATTTATTTTGCAGAAGCTTCTTAGCACTGAAAGACACTGATAAATTTTAAGAGAGCATTCTAAAAATATCAGGTAAGCTCTAGTGACAAGTGATAGTTAAGTTGGTATGAAGGTTTTAGTAATCACTCACTTTACAGGCATTTTAGATAGAAGAAAACCTGTTCAGAAAGCAGGCTGTGTTACCTACCACACATGCTGAAACACTGTCTCTTCACAAGCAGACACAGCAGCGGATGAATCCCTTTTGGAAGAACAGCCTCAGGTTAGAGTAGAAAACCGGAAACGCTGGAAAGAATAAAGGCAAAGGAGCTCCGTCTGGAAAAGGTAAAGTCTTACGAGTCCTCTTCTTTCTGAAAATACTTCTTTACTCCTTGATGTGACTTCTGCAAAGACCACCTCTGCTTCTGTTAAGAGATGAAGGGCGTGTAACTACTGTTACTGTTAGTGTCCCATGCTATTTGCCTCTTCTGGAAGGGTCACAGGATCCTTCTTTCCAACAAAGTGGACCTTTTGACTTGCAGTATCAATGTTTCAGAGTCTCCTCTCAAATTTCTCTATCATTGTTTCTCTCTTGTTCTCCATTGTAAATCACTGTTTGTGATTGCTTGTCAGCAACAGTGGCACAGTAGCACTGGGGTAATTGTCATGTTTGTTCCACATGTTCATGATGCTGTAACATCAGAGTTACAAGAACATATCCACCTGCAGGATGTGGACTTTACTGTTGATTTTTAGATCAACCTTTCTGTCACCTAAAGGTAGCTGTTCACTTCATAAAGCATCGTCTAGTTTCTCAATTCAGCTCTAACTATATGGTTAAGCAAAACAGGCAACAGTCCATCAAGATTGTCTTTGGTTGCTGTGGGGATACCAGGCTACTTCCTAGCAGCTCCTACCAAGCACTGTACTGGGAAATCCTTAACAGACCTATTTATTTAAGTAGAATTATTTTGAAAAAACTATTACATATGTACATTAGAGTTGATTTGAATAGAGACTTCTGACTATCCCAGGTACTGTGTTACCCAAATTGCTCTAGTTTATGGCATAGCTGGCTAAACTGGCAAAGTGAGGCTGTTTGTCCCAGGTAATTTAATTCTGTAATTAGCTTTTCCTTCTTCCTATATGCCTGCAGGGCAAGAACCAGCTCTGGTTCAGTTATATTCACAAGAAAGTTAAAAGGACTTTTGGAAAACTGAGCTTCCCAATTACTAAAACAGAAAAAAAAAAAAAAAAAAAGAATCCTTGGGGGAAAAAAAAAAAAAAGAAAATGTTTAAAATAGGCAATGAGGTGGATTCTGCTCTTAGCTGTATTGATTTAAATAGAAGTTGTTTCAGTAACATGAAATCTAGATTTATGTAAGAATAACTGAAAGGCAACATCTGGTTCACTGCTTGTGTTGCAGTGACAGCTGGGCTTCACTTGTGCTTGCTGGAGATAACAGACACTTCCACATGGCCATATCAAGTTAAACGATCAGCTCAAAAGCACAAGTAAGGATGCAAGTATCGGCTGTGCCAGGGAGAGGGTAACATAACTGAAAGTTACTTAATTCTGGTCATACTTCTGTAAGAGAAGGTGCAAGTTTGCAGCCTCTTCTCAGCTAGGTCACTACGAACACTGGCCAGTTACAAAAAAGTCATTTTTTTGTGTTTGTAGGTATTCTGACTTAGCCCTTCCATGCTTTTAAGGGAAGAAGGAGAGAGGTGAAAGACCGTAGGGCTACAAATGATGCCCATTATGTGGGAAGAATCTCACACTGATGAGTTTTCACCCACTTACCTGTACACTTAAATAGTATGTTGAGGCAAATAAATATCTGCTTTCTAAATCTCACTTCCAGCTAAAGAAAACCAAGTGGCAAATTAGGATTTCTCTAACAAGGCTGTGAAACCTCAGTGGCATCGTTGTGCAGGAGTCATACTAAATGTACGCTGGTGAGGCTGCTTCCAAGATAGCTCCTAAAATAGGCACTAAAGATGTAACTTGACCCAGTGCTCCCTGCAGAGCCAGCTGCAGGGGAGGAGAGCTGCTTGCTGCACCTCTCCATTAGTTGAAGGAGATGACTGCTAATGACAAAACAGCTGTCTCTGATCCCATTGTTGTGTTTCCAAACCAGTAGCTCCATGGAGATTGGAATCCAGTTCCAAGTGTTCTGGATTCACTTCTACTGCCAGAAGAGCCCGCATTTAGTTAAGGAACAAGGTTAAATATGCTTGCAGTAGCGTATAGTTGGTAATGTAGTTCAAGCCTGTGACAAGTTCAGCGCAGGGGGAAGGGACTGTCTGAGCTGCCTAAAAGCTGCTGCCAGTGCTTTTAGCCTTTACCCAGCGGGAGCTGACTGAACAGGTAAGACTCCTCTGCTGAGCTAAAGGCTTGTTTGGATTATTTGTACGGCACAATTTGGCTAAGCACCACTGAGAGCCTGGATTGAGGATGTCACCTTTTTATTATATACTGTACTGCTGTAAATTTTTGTTGTCATTAATTTTAAGTGGATCACTGTCATTTTCCTGCTTATAACACAGATCCAGAGCACGGACAAAACTACCATGGAGGCAAAGACAGGAGGAGAGGCATACTGAGTCCCATCCGCCAAGAGTGCAGGTACCTGCTTCAGACTTATTTATGCCAATCAGCAGGAAATGAGCAGGGCTTCTTGCCCTGCCTTGTGCTGCAAGGGGGGTCACCCAAACTTCACTTATGATTATCCTTATGATTTCCTGTAATTTCCAGTCTCACTGTTAACGAGTGCTCACCAGGACCGAAAAGACCAGAATCATCTGATTCAGTCCTCCCACTACCATAGGCAACTACATGTAACAGGCATGTGAGCATTTTAAGTACCCAGAAGGGCAGCTGTCTTGGTTTTCATAGGTGCAAAAAAAGGAAATGAGCCCCAGCCTCTGATTCCTGGCTGGCAGGCTTAGGTATGCTTTATTCCACAAAGTGGGAAAAGGCTAGAGGTATGCCTGTGCCTTTTAGGAGAGGGAGTTCCCCCAAAAAGTTGGGTACAAGTGCGTTCCCAAGAAAGAGGGGATGTTTTCTCTAGCAAGATCAGAGGTGATGGCTGCCAGACCTGAGGGTGATGTTAATGGGGTGGAGTTCTTTATAGGAGTGGATGTGAAGAGCAGGAGGAGAGATTTTGCACCAGAAGAGCTGTAGTATGCGGGGATTTGGAAGGTCTGAGGCATGGCCATGCAACTTTGCACGGCAAGTTTCTTGTTCAAAAACATCCATAAAACAATTCTTTCATACCCCACCAATTTATGTTGTGCCAAGGGTCCTTTCCAATGCTTTACAATAAACTTGAGGCTTGTAGGAAAAGTCTAGAGAGCCAAAGGATAATGTGCTGCAGAGAGGCAGAAAACAGAGCAAGTTTCCACGTTTCTGCTATGGCAAGGAATTCGTTACATTTGCAGCCAGTTTGTACCGCTTTGTTCTCATGCCAGCATTGTTTAGCTGCTCTCACAAGACAGGCTGTCCATTCTCCATGTAACCCTTTTCTGCATCTTCTCCAGAACTGTTTTCTTCTCGAGAGCCCAAATCATATACTGTGTTCTGGAGGAAACACCAGAGTTTTGTACACTTGCATCAGTGCTTCCCTACCTCTAGTAGAGAAATATTATCTTACCTAAGGCACGTTCTCTTTTTCTGTGAATGGCTGAAGATTTATTTGTTGTTTACTTCAGTCATATTTTGCATGTCCTAGCTCATTTGACTTTTGAGAAATCTGGCCTTAATCCTGTGCATCTTTATCTCTGCACCACAGCTATCTTTGCTGACCAGGATTGTTTGCTATTTGTGACTCCTAAGAACCTCTCTACAGTGGGTTTTTTTCACTTATTCAGGCCTAAAGTGCTTCCCAAGAAGATTTTTCTCTTGCTTGGAATATATACGTGGGATAGTTTTCATACCTTTGATCTAGATATATTCCAATCTCCCTCCACATTCAAGTCTTTCAGCTCTTCAGGTAAATTCACTAATGAGTTTCCTTAATTTGACAGTTTGCCCTTCTGAAGTTGAAAAAATTAATTACCAACTTGCTTCTGTTTGTTATTCTGTTCAATGTAAATGGAAACAGTTGCTGAGTACTCAGCCCAATGCTGTTTTCTATGACCAGCTTTTTTTTGCTTGTCTTCATTACTTACTAATTTGGGGTTGTCTCTTTTTGTCTCGGTGACTACTGAGAAGAAATCTGGCAGCTATCGTATACATGGCTAGCTGGGCCCAAGTTTATTATTAGAAGCATTTGTTTCCCAAATAGTATCTGGGAAGTTAAAGTTGACCATGGCACAATTCCCAGTAGTGTTTCTATAATAACAGTTCAGTGACAGACCTCTTCTTGCACCATTATATTTTAGCTGCAGACAAGAAAGTCCAGGTTTCAATGAGGTGTCCAAATCAAAAACAATGACTCCCCAAAAAACAAAGGCTGTGAGCAGGTGGTCTGGGCTGCTGGAAGTAGAGCTTCCTGTTCACATACAATGGGAGTTTTATGATGAATGAAATGATGATGAGTTAAATGACAGACGGCTTATTTTTTAATAAATTGCAAAGATCACTTGATGCTTTCCACTTGTCTGGATTAAATGCCTAAACACTGAAACAAAAGGAGTATTGTACTAAGATTGCAAATGTTTTGGATATTGGCCTATTGATCATATTCATATGGGCCAGGTCTGGCTCACATTTGGAACAGGAGCAGAGCAGTAAAATAGAGTCTGTTCCATGAGCTATTGCTCTCCTGAGTTACGGAGACCAAGCCAGCTTTTTCTGCCATAGGGCTGCTCTGTTCAGCCTGCAGTGCTGTGAAGGATGGGTTCCCTCCCCCATGCTGCCAGTCCTGTTTCGTGTGGGTACCTACTGGATTCTTCCGATCTGTTGCAAGTGACCATTTGGCCCACAGCAACGGTCATTACCTGGCAGAATTTGTAAGCGGGTAAGTCAGTCATGGGAATAAATGCATTTAAAATTTTCCCAGCTGTTGTACCTACATCCAGGACTTGAGTGCAGCTTGAACTCTTACATGTAAGAAACGTGCAAAGCACTCTTCTCCTTCTCAGCCCATGTCTGTCTCTCATTGAAATTAGCCTGCTGTTCACATATGACAAGGCTTCTAGCAGCTTCTGTCATACCATTCCTGACTTATGGTCAGGCTCACCCAGCCTTCTCACCCTCCTCCTCCTTGGAGTCTAATCATAGCTATTTGTATCACTTTTATTTTATAGCCCTGTTTTGTGTACTGTCTTGCTACATCATATTTTCAAGCACAGACCCAATCTGAAGGGTACTTGGAGGAAAAACTGTGCACCTGTTTCCAGACCTTTGGCTGCTGCAAACCAGTAAAGGAATCCAGGTCAGTTAACCCTGGCCAAAGAAGTGGGCCAAAAGTTTGAAGTTGAAAGGTTATACATCCGAGAGCTGCAGTAGCTGCCTTAGTGCTTGTAATAATGACTTGGCTGTACAGGCGAAGCCAGCAGGACACAGGACAGAAACTCGGGGCTCTGGAGACCAGAATGATAGCCGATGCAATAGGAAGCCAGAGGGAAAAAAAGCAGGGAGGCCTTTTTCATAAAAGGCACAGAGAAAGAAACTGGGCATCAAGTTGTGCTTAAAATGGCAAAAGCATCTCAGCTGCTGACCTCTCCTTGGAAAGGAGACAAGGAGCAGTGAGTCCTGACATGGTACCGTAGAAATGACAGACCTGTCATAAAAGGACAGGTATTTCATCTTCCAAAAGCATCTTATGTCAGTCATCTGAGCACGTGAGGCTGGGTGGGCAGGGACCCAGAGCCACAGGTTCAAGGACTTCTTGCTTTCTCTGACCTCAGAGCCTGTCCGCATTTGGCACTGGGGCTGTGACTGATGGGTGGGAGAACTGGATCTTGAGAGGTTTGTCTCCTGCCAGGGGAGGAAGCATCAGTTCTTGTCCCCTTTACCTGAGGGAAGGGCCGCTTTCAGTGCTGTGAAGCTTCGATTTGGATTACCCTTGGACACATGTAGAGGTGGAGTCATGCCAGTATACTGGCATGCATTGGAAGGATGGAGGGGACAAGTGGGAAACTTATTTTGAGTTCCACATGACAGTGTAGTTTAATGGAAACAAGGCAACAAGTGGAGGGGAGGAACCTGCAGTTTAATGTTGCTCTTGAGCTGGTGAAAACCACTAGCTGCTCAGGACACATTTTCCATAATTTTGCAAACCCTTTCCCCTTCTTCTTCCTGCTGTTTTGCTCACAGTGCTCTTCAAGTGGGTGTGTTTTGACCTATTTCTTCCTCTGCATATGCCTAGTGAAGCACAAGGATGTTTAGTGCCTATTGGATAATGTATTTCTTTATGGGTTTGCAGATGCTCTTATGTATAGATACATGCCCTGAGGGCTTCACTTTGGTTGGCAAGTAGCACTTCCTAATGTGCTCACCACTTCAGATTGAATTGGTTAGCAGGGAGGCCTTCTCAGCCTACCCGGGTTACCTCCATGATGTTTCTTGCTGTCATATGTTTTGTTTGCTTGTGTCCTCTCTCCCAGATGGAGTACAGGAGCACTGCACAGCCCAGGGCAGGAGAAAGTACTCTGAACTTCCCAGAAAAAGTAGTCCCTAGGGACCATGAGAGCAATCACAAGCTCATGTAGTTCTTTGGTTGACCAGGTCTTGGAAAAGTGACGTCAAACTAGGTGGGGGTTGCATGCTGTGAACTCCTGACAAATGCTGTGGGTTCTGATGAGATGTCCTACAGCAACTAACCAGATGTTTTTAAAGCTCCTGGGACAGGCTTTAGCAAGTTGTTTCCTGGAAAAGAGTCTCTGGAAGAAATATGCAACCACAAATCAGTGACTAAACAAGCTACGTGAGGACTGATGCTTACTACAGCTTGAGTGGTCAGTGCAGTGGAGAGCAGTCCTCTAGCATATCTGGGGCAAGGGGACTGAGAGAAACTCTATGAAACAGAGTTGTGCTGAGGCAGGTTTTGGAGCTCAGTAGCAAAGATTTGGGCACGTATGGGACTTGGGACTGTTCTCATGGTGTGACATAAAGAAGATTAGAATCAGATTATGGTGGTAGGTAGTAAAGCTAGAAAATGAGTGGAGAAGGGATGTTATGACAGTCTGTATTTCTATAAATGCATTCATCTCCTAAAGTAATTAATAAAGGGGGATAGTTCTGTTGCATTTGACTTGTAGGACCAGAGGTGTATGGTAGACTGCATGGTGCATTGCATACACAGAGTCTGATTCGTCATCTTGCTTATTGGATTGTCAGGGAGGAAATCACTTTCATGATGCTGCAACTTCAGCTTTCCATTCTGTTTATTCCATGTTCTCCAGTTTTTCCTCCCCCATGTTCAATGTTTTTTCTTTCCATTTCCTGTAATTTTTATCTTTGTTTTTCTCTGGTTTTGCAAGCTGAGGTAGAGTCTGGCTGCAACAATTTCTTAGTTTAGTAGTGACACAGAGGTACAGTTTCTCCTAGAACTTAAATAAGACTTAATTTTATTTGGATTTATTTTAGTTATTGCTTTGCATTTAAAGAATTTGCATTCTGTGGCTTTTATGTTTGGTTTGGGGAGAGGTTTGTCAGGAGGATTGATTTTTGAACTGAAATAGAAAAAATCTGTTGACTTTTTGGTCACATGCATTGTTTTTGCTTGCAGGAGCATTCATTTGACGTCCTGCTAGTCATTCTTTTCCAAAGCATTTTGAAGTCTACTCATTGTTGTAAAATTATTGCTGATACTATTTGTGTGCAATAGAATATATCCCAGAGAAGTGGTTCCTTATGCTTTCTGCCAAATAAATTCATTGGTGTTGCAGATCAGTTATTAAGTTCTTGCTTATACAGATCATTTTGAAAACAGCTAGGAACTAAACTTTTTTTGCACTATATTAATTGTTCAAATTGCCATTTGAAGCCTTGAATTTAGTTTGACATATTTAGATGACAACAAACACCAGCTTTCATTCTGTTGCTGCTCTTGGACAGTTACAGTTGCCAGAAGAAACTGAAGTAAAATTACATTATTACAGATTAGATTATTATATTATTTGACCAATGTAGTTAGAATTTGGGGTTTTGTAGTTTATTCCAGATAGAGGTGTATTCAGATATCTTAGATATAATTCCTTGTATTTAATGCAAAAGAATAAAACTGTGAGCAACAGGTCCTCTGTTCACAGCGCTACATCTCCTGTGGACTTTGGCTGCAAATGTGAATGCTTAGCTCTTCCTAGAGTTAGATGCCTTGTGCAAGACTCACAGAAAATTGACAAGCACATAACTTAGAGCCAGCTGTGAAGTCAAACAACTTCTTCTAATCCATCACATAGTATCACCATAGAAACACTGCATGTCTAACTAGCTTCAGAGGTGCATTGGTAACTTGAGTTGGCCTCTCTGAGCCAGCAACTCAGTCCTGCTAAAAGAACATTCATGTTCTTCACCCCTGTGTTTTTCAGCCTGCCCAGAGATCCATGCTAGACTGTTACCAATACCCAGGTTAGCTAGTCTGGAATTAGCTCACACCCATGAACTCATGCACAAAAGATGCAGCACATGCATCCTGTCTGGAACAGAGGCAGGAATAGCATCCATTTCCTCAAGGTTTCCTATGTTGTTCTACCATGAATAGTCCCAGCATCGTGTTCTGCATAAATCTGGCACATCCCAAGAGTGAGTCTATCCTAAACAAAGGCAAGGCCTTGCAAAATAAAGCAAGGCCAGAACAAAATAATACCGGACTACATAATTTAAGACTGTCATGAAATGTATGAGCAAGTGGACCGAAGTGAAGTCATACAACCCATCTTCTGGTATTTCCTAACGTCTGACGCTTTCATTGTGCAACCTTAATGATTTTTTTTAATTGGTCCTGTGCCTATAATACTTAGGTGAATTGAAGGGCAAGGACAGAAGAGATGAGAGCTAATAGGAAAAAGATATATCAGAGTCAAATAAACTAATTTTAGAAGGCAGATAATATAGCTATATACTTTGAAGCAGCTTGGTTTTGTAAAGGCCAGGACGTGAAGGGTAAAAACCTGAGGAACCTCGTGTGAGAAGGGACAAAAGTACAAAGGTATTTTCAGCTCAAGGCAAGACAAATTACAGAGGACTGAACTTTGGTTCCCAGCCCAGAACACATTGAAAGCCATCTCAGCAGGCTACAGAGTGGGATAGTCCCTTAAGAATAGACAAAATTTCCCTGCTTTTAGTATGTTATTTTTATTGCGTGTACTTATAGGCTGTATAAAACTGCTGCTGAGAACAGACTCCACCTCTGGTCATTCCCCGCGATAGCCACCAAACAAACCTGGAGCTGCTCTTCCAATAAAGGAAGCATTTTGTTCTGATACAATGCTAAAATCATACTGCAACGTCCCTGAAGCACCACTTAGAAAAGCTTCAGATTAGAAGCGGTCAGGATCATAAGGTTTGAAACAGGAGAGGACAATTAAATTATTACCAACCCCTTAGATTTCTTCTAGCATGATACGCTGCTCTGGGTGAAGTATATTGATGCAGCACATGATTCCAGACAAAGTCATTTTTTTGCATCCCGTTTATGACTGGCAGAATTATTTATTAACTTTCTCTTCAAATAGCAATGCTCTGTCCCATACAGTTGGGGGCTGTAGTGTAGAGAGATTTTCCAGAAGCCCCATGACTCTCTCCCGGGTTGGTCATACAAGGGGGGGCGGCTTCATTTTGCCCCTGGTAGCAGCTCTTCAGGGGGGTAGTTCCTTCCCTAATTGCTTTCACGGGGGTTGGCTGGAAGGGAGTAAGGTACTCGGGAAGGAAGAATCCCGCACCTGAAATAACTGCTGTGGCTTTCAGCTTGCTTGGCTTCCCCCTACCCCCCAGGTGACAATCAGATCGTTAATTAACTGTTAACTCCCGGAGGCTGAGGAGGCGCTGGCGGGGCGGGCTGGGAAAGGCTTATGCAGCGGCGGGGGCGGCTTGCTGCCCCCCTTTACGGGTTTCCCACCCCCCCGGGCTGTCGGGGCGGGAGGAGGCTCCGGCCCTCGGCTGAACCGCCGGCCCGGGGGAGGGGGAAGAAGAGGAACAGTGACCCCGGCTCCAGCTGAAAGTCAGTCAGAAGATACACTCATTACTGGGGGGAGACGAAGCAGCGCTTTAGCTTTCTTCACGCGAATCTCTCCTCCCCGTGGAAGGCTTTGGTATAAACCGAGGGGGAATTTCAGCAGACTCGAGCTAAATAACATCTGTGTCCGAACACACAACGTGCTTCCTTTTACGTTTTCTCTTGCAGATGGGTCTCAGCCTTCCTCTATCCTTATCGTAATTGCCACGGTTTCGGGAATAAGGCTGAAGCTACCGAGAGGCTGCTGACAACAGCCTGCACGGCCCTGATAAGAAGCGACAAGTTCTGTTCTCTTGTCTTGCGTGACTGAAAGATAAAATATCTGATCTGTTGACAGCTGGTAAGTGAATACCCCGGCTTTATAAAGCGTAGCTAGCTCTGTAAGCTGCTGCATAGGCTGAGAGGATCTTGTGGATGGTGCCTGAACCCGTAGGACCGGGTATGCTCAAAGTGCTTGTTCCCGAGTTTGCCGGCGTTTCTGACGTGAGACATCTCACCACGCCTCTTGCGCTATTTCAGACGGAAAAGCTTCCAGCTAACCTCATGTAGAGTCTATGCATGCTTGCAACCCGAAAACCTCCTTCAGGTAAGTACTGATGGCAGCAGCTGCCAACAACATGGCTATTCAGCGTAAATTGCCGCATATTCAAAGGCTGTTCCGATACATCAGCGTGTTCCTCGGTGAAAGCGTTCAAGGAATTAATTGAATTTCCAGAGGGATGAAGCCTGCCTCTACAAGCCTTCTGCGAAGAGAATACGATTTTAATCGGCTTGAGAGCTGGTGAGATGGGTTCCTGGGAACTTCCCGGTAAAAATTAACATCGCGGCGTAGCAGGGACCCGGTTACCGGTAGGGATGAGCCTGACAGAAGCCGAAGCGCCGCCGGCATTTGGATGCGCTTGGTGCCGCGCACGGGCGGCCGCCGCTGGGGACCGCCTGCGCCGAGGGAGAGGCCGGGCTGAGGCGCTGCCCGGGGCCG